TATTCAGCCACATAACCCCCCCCGCCCCCCGAAGCAGGTGGATTAGGATGGCTGCAATGACAGCTTTACAGCACAGCTGGCCGAATTCCAAAAAGTAGTTAAGAGAATGGAAACAGAATGCCAGGTGATGACTTGGGAGCGGGAAGGTGACCAGATGGATGAGAGGGCACAGTTCGGGGGCACGTTTGGCTGCTGGCATGTCCCGTTGCTCTCGGCTCCAGCTGCCAAGGTGTCGTGCCCATACAGAAACTCTCGGTTACTCAGGGCCTACTTGCCGTGGGCTTTTGCCGCAGGCATTTCAGGAAAGCCCGGCCAGGGCAAGCAGTGCGCACAAGGCGACCCCATCAGCATCTCCTCTGCTCTCCAGCAAAATGTCGGCAGGGAGAAGACTGATGCAAAAAGCCAATACGTTGTACTTTGAGGATACTTATGATGGGTTTTATTTATCTTGCTGTGTTGTTCTTGCCCTTTTCCTGCCATAAATAACCGAGAGTTTTCTGTATCTAGCTGAAAATGCCACTCCTAAAAAAACGTTCTTCAAATGTCTAGATGCAAGACTAAGCAGCCGCGTGCTCTGAGGTGGAAACAACGCGAGAGAGGCGCCGACGGGCCACTAACCGATGGACGGGATGGGCATCGGCCGGGACCGCTGAGGACCAGGGCTGCCGCGGGGAAACCTCCGGCCCACGTGATCCACCCTATCTGCCCATCCTGCAGACGCCGGGTTTCCTAAGATCTAAAGACAAAACAGCGACAAAGTCGTAAGTCTTGCCAGCCTTTGGGAGGAAAGAATTCAGTTAGCCAAATTGATTCGATCGAGAAGCAGAAGCTCTAAAGGCAACTAAACTTAGCTTTTAACTGAAAGGTTAGCTGAATGCCCTGGAAGAGAACAAAGCTGTCACCTGGCACCCCATTCTCCACATCAGAGTCGCAGTTTGACACTCGGGTTGGGGCAAAAAGTAACTCCTCGGGAAGTACCCTTTTGTTGCTGCTACTGCTGCTGAGGCCAAATGCCTTGGACCAAAAGGACGACGGTTTTAGCATGACTCACCTCGCCGCGGGCACCTCTGCTCACTTTCACCCCTGCCTGGCTTCCACGGGCCCTGCCCCTCTCCCCGGCAGCTATCACAGAAGTGGGGTCAATGCTGCAATTCCAAATGTCCTGCCTGGATATAAGTTGTAGGAGAGGTTTCCAAAAACTTTCTGTATTTTATCAGCTTTGAAACTCACATACGCACCTTCGCCCTAATCTGAAGACGCTGGTGATCCTCTAGGGCTCACCTGGGTGGCTCTCCTCTCCGGGAAAGCACACCCCTAACTCGGACTTCAGCGGGGAGTTGGTTAAAGGGCATTAAAGCAAAACCTCCAGCTCGCTAGGAAGTCAGCTGAGTGAGGAGGTTCTCGGGAACACAGGAGTGAACGGTGGGAGTCCCCCGTGCCTGGGGGTGCGGGCTGCACGGCGGGGTGCAGGCTGCGGGTGGCTGGCGGGTGAGTCACCGGGTGTGGGTCAGCGCCTCTGGTGGACCCATCAGAGAGCTCACGGGCTCAGACCCGAGGCCTGGCGCCATGTGGACGGCTCACCTGTGTTTTCAATGGAGGGGTTAGCACGACCGGAGCAAATGTTCTGGAAGGAGGACACAGTGCAGAGATGAGCGAAGCCTTGAATGAACCTGCTCCCCAAACCGGCTAACAGAGCGGGGTGTCTGCAGCCACAGGTGGAGGCAGACAGTGGGAAACGCATTTTGCAAACTGTCGATGCAGAAAAGAAGCCAGGGGGTAAAAGCCAAAAAAAACTTGGAAACAACGTGCAAAAACAATAGTTGTTCTCCATTTTTTTTCCAGTTATGGATGAAGGCCAAAAAACAAGCGGGGGAAAAAACCCTGCAGTAATACTAACAGTTATAGGTAAGTCCCTAAGGATCATTTTGAAAAAAAAAAAAA